ACTAGCAACAGAAGTTGCAACCAGCTTGCTAATATCAATCGCGATGTGATCAGTCTGAGTCCAGGCTCGAGATGCGATTCTCTTCTGTGCCTAGACGCCCGACCTGAGCATTCAAGTCTCCGGCTAGTACTACAATATCTGTCGAACGCACTTTCTGGAGAAGAACATTTAACTGGTGGTAGGATTCATTCTTGATTGCATCTCGGCTGCAATCTGTCGGGGCATAGGCGGAGATGACGAAAAGACATAGTTTCTCACACCGATTTCTTTTCACTTTGATGGAACTTTCTAATCTAACAGCACATAACCGACTGTTAATGGGGATCCAATCGATTAGTGCTGCTACAGCTCTGGAGTTTAGTTGGAGATTACAACAAGAAAAAATATTAGTATATGTTTATAATTTTCATACAGGAAAGTTATCGTGTCTTCTCCATTTATTCAATAGCGCTGATTGACTAAAAAAGTAAGCCAATCAACATATCCTGATGTAATTCTATATAGAACATTCTTGAATCTAATCCATGTCCTGCTAACCATAATGAAGAATAGTTATTGAAAATATACTTTTATGCTCATAATTTAAGTATTACTGTTCGTAAAACTAAATAATCTTAACTTCCAAAAACTCTAAACAACTGACAAATATTCATAAATAATTCATCCAACTTTGGAATTCTTCAACAGTTTAAAACTATAATTCTCTATTAAATTGAGCTAAATATTCATCATTTCTTTCATTCAACAAACAAAAAATTAGCACCGTAAAGAGATTTCAATTGACAAGCCTGTTTTTAAAATTATTAGATATTTCCATGTCTCATATTTATTTTTTAGTTACTGATTATCAACAACTTAAATTAGGATTAAAATTATCCCTGAAAGTCGATTACAGTTCTCCTAGAATTCAAAATATAACTGTTCCATAATTATTCTTGTTACAAAGTTTCCCCTTCCATTGTAAACATTTTTGTCATATCTTAAGTTTGTAATATGTTAATAATGTCATTTGAACTAATAGTATATCAGTTTAAAAATCCCCATAGAATATTTTTTAAAAAATGAAGAATATTTGAGTGAACAATTGTTTTCAATAACTTCATCATCAGGCTCTACAGTTATAAGTTCATAATTATAATATTTTACAAAGGCCAAAAATAAGGCACGTTTAGATGGTGGTTGGAGGTAGTCAACAGGAAACCCGGGTCCAGGGTTTCCTGTTGACTACCTCCAACCACCATCTAAATCTCAATACATAGTGCCCGCAGTGTCGAGTCACCTAGACTGGTGGCCACATTGCAACATGATCGATAGCATTCGATCTGCACTAATAAGGACTAGACAAGCAAGACATTGATCACCACCCAGTGATCAATCAATTGTAATAGGGCACGTATTAATGAATTTGACAATGTTATATGTTAGAAATAGTGCACGTTTACATCTGTTACGATATATCTATATACTTCAAAATTGTATTATTTGCAAATTAGAAAGGTCATTCAATAAAGGTCAGAATGATTTAGAGTAAAGTGTTCAGTCACAATAAGTAGAATAGTATTATAGCAAAAATGAAAATTCAGTTTCATTTTGGGAAGGACAAGAGGCTTGATGGCCTGTGTTAGTCCTGGCAATGGTGATCCAACTTTCTTTTGAAAGAGTCGATGGATGGATCCTCAACCACGTGCTGAGGTAATGAATTTCACTCGTTGATGATTCGATGGGAAAGTCGATAGTCAGCTGACAAGTAATTTGTTCTGGGCTTGTGAACTTTTTCGGAGTGTCCTAGTAAATTCTCTGTTTTGGAAGACAAGAAAAATGAGGGCATATCAGGTGCAAATTTGAAAACTGTAATCAAGTCGCCTCTAGTTCTGCGATATGACAACGGGAAAAGGTTCAGCTTGACCAGTCGAGCTTCATAAAAAAGCTTCGCTATTCCGGGAATCAGCTTAGTTGCCGTTCTCTGAACATTTTCCAGAAGCTCGCTGTTTTTTTTAAAACAGGGGCTAGCCGCTTGTATGCAGTACTCGCACGAGCATTGCATACAAAGTCAAAAACGTCTTAGCGACGACATGACTAAAAGCCCTGCGTATTGACCATAAGGTTCTAAAACCTCTGGCGGCTATTGCACGGCAGTGTGCAGTAGTCTTTAGGTCTTAGTTAACGATGACTCCTAAGTCATTATATGTCTGAACGATAGGTAGCTCAGTGTTATTCATCGTGTATTTATCTGTACCTTGATGACCGATATGCATCACAACACACTTGGAAGTATTTAACGGCAACTGCCAGTTATGAGACCCTTCAAATAATTTCTTCAGGTCATTTTGGAGTTCTAAGTTATCACCCTTACATCCTATCGTTCTCCATATCTTGATATCGTCAGCATATAGCAAGACCGATGATGACAGGAGACGAGAAAGTTCATTTACATAAAAGAGGAATAGCACTAACCTTAAAAATGTACCTTGGGGCACTCCACTAAGCACAGTTCCTCAGCTAGATAACTTTGAGTTCACCCGTACTCTTTGTTGACGCCTAACTAAGAAGTCTTTTATCCACATCAATAGATTTTCTCCAATCCCGACATTTCTTAACTTATGTAACAGCCTGTTGTGCGGAACTTTGTCAAAAGCTTTGCTGAAATCAATGAAGGCTACGTCTGCTGGTAAATTGTGTGAATAAAATACATTGTATAAGAATTTAATCTTGTCAATTGAGATAATAATAATAATAAGATTTTTGTGTGAATATAATATGTAATAAGGAGGGTGTTATCAAGGTAATTACGATCAACGAATTAGGAATGATGAATGTAAAGATTAAGATAGAGATAATCAAGAATAATGACAATAAGGAAAAAAATTGAATAAATAAAAGTAAAGGAAGGGGGTAAGAGGTTTATAATATTCAGTCTAGGTATTCGGTGATCCAGTCGTAGGTCAAGGTAAACAAAGAGGCTGGATATATTTTTTCTGGATGCATAAATTTTGTCTTCTGCAGTTGATCCAGTTAGCTTTGGTTATGTAAAACAGTCGTAATCTAGCTCCTTGAGGTAGATATTCTGGAATTTGATATAAAACAGAGGAAGCTTCCTCTATTTTGATATGATGTTCACTATCTGCCAAGTGAGAAAGAGTGGTGCTGTTAAACGATTTGGTAACTCCTTTTTCCAGCCATGTTCACGAACACGCAAGGTTAAAGCTCTCTGAGTACGGCCTATGTAACTAGCTTCACAGGAGCAGTTGAATTGGTATACACACATGGAGGAGCCCATCTTCGTTAACCTATCTTTGATTAGTTGTGTGAGTACTAGTTTAGTTGAGAAAATTATGTGTAGTTTGGCGGTGTGAAACGTCTTTTCGACAGATCTTTTGAGTCGGCGTGTTAAAATATCACCCGCTGTATCCCCTTTAATGTCTATTCTTAGATATAAGGTCCTTTTGCTGACTGTGTCACAATTTCTTTTTTTTAGTACTTTTACGAAGTATTTTTTAACGAAATTATCAGGATAGCCATTATTTCGTAATGTGTTCTTTAGTATATCTATTTCGTCATCCACACTGTCTTCAGAACATAATAACTTGATTCTGTGGTTGAGACATTTAACCAAATTTATTTTATATTGAAGAGGTGTGAAGCTTTGGGAATGGGTTTATTGACCCGTTCATGTACTCTTTCCAAATACATTTCGCCTTATGGAACGGTCTGTCCTTCTATAAAGTAGGACATCTAGAAAAGCTATACTATTGTCTTTCTCCTCTTCGCTGGTGTATTTAATGGCTGGGTGGATATTATTGAAAGAGTCCAACACCTGTTTGTCGATATTTTCGTCACATATAATTAGTGTGTCATCTATGTATCGACAGTAATAATCAAGCTTACTTAGGATTTCTTTAAGCGGTCCATTTTCTAGTTTGGTCAGAAAAATATTAGCAAGGATCGGGCCTAGAAGTGATCCCATTGCTACCCCATCTACTTGTCTGAAAAATTTATTGTTAAACTTAAAGTAGATATTCATAGTGCATTTCAACAGTTCTTTCATTTTACTTACTGGGATCGGTATCTCTATTTTTTTTTCTAGCAATTGTTCACATATATAATCGATAGTTTCAGTCAGAGGGATGTTATTGGACAAAGATGTTATGTCTAGTGATAACATGGTTTTGCCATTTATATTCATATTTTTCATTGTATCCACAAATTCAAAGACATCTTTAACACTATGCTTAACCAGTTCTTGGTTCAATGGTTCTAATAATTCAACTAACTATTTTGCTGTTGAATGGTATATTGAGTTTGCCATATCCAGTATCGGGCGTAAAGGAACATCAGGTTTATGAATCTTAGTTAGACCATATAGTCGAGGGGTATGTGTTCCCGAAGGCTTGAGCGCATTATAGGTATGCTCATTGATGTTGTTTTAAAAATTTTAATGCTACAGTTAGTTGACGTTCGGTCTTTTCATTGTGGTCTTTACATGACCCAAGCTTTTGAAATTTGGTTTGATCACTCAGTAGGGAATTCATCTTATCTATGTAATCTGTCTTGTTTAGAATTACAGTGCAACTATTCTACTTATTGTGACTGAACACTTTACTCCAAATCATCCTGACCTTTCTAATTTGCGAATAATACAATTTTGAAGTATATATATATATATATAGCCTACTGTGAAATAGGTAGTAGTATCTTACAAATTAAATTGAGTAAATTGTTTTCCTTAGACTCCTTAAATAATTCATAGAATTAGTAAATTTAATGTTTATTCATAATAAATATAATGCCTAATTGACATTAATAAGTTGTAAACATTGAATGTGTTTCTTTCTTGATTCTATGCAAAATATCGTTAAGGCTCTCTATACAACCACATCAAACAGAATGAAGATCTATTCATCATGGAGAACAGATAAAAAAAAATTAAAAAAAAAGTTTTCTGCTTAAAATATTCACCAATGAATTTTTATCAATATAATCTATTTATTCTATTTTTTTAGGCTGTATGTTGCAGTGATGGAGAACACTGTTGTCCTGAAGGTTATCAATGTGATTTATCTGTTGGAGAGTGTATAAAACGTTCTAAATCATCAAATGAATTGAAAACGTTTTTACCAAATATTAGTTTATCATCATTATCAACAAAAATTAAAGATAATAATCGTTGTCCTAATAGTGATGTTTATTGTGAAGATAATTCAACTTGTTGTAAACATGATCAAGAATGGGGTTGTTGCTTGTTCTCAAATGTAATTTTATTATATTATAATTTATCAATATTTTTTTGTTTAAATCTGAAAATTTTAAATTCAATCCTTTAAGTTAATTCATAGATAATTATTACTTGAAACTTTCAATATTATGCGATAGTTTCAGTTATTTCCAATTTAGACTAGATGCAAATTTTTGTATGAAAAATTTATTGTTCACATGCCATTGTGATTACACTTAAACGTAATTCCTAAACTTCTAGTGAGAAATCTTGATTATGGAAGTTGAATTGTGTTAGACGTTAGATAGTTGTTCCCAGTGTTTGTACAATGTCGCGAAATATCTGAAGTTAGACATGTAAACCTTAGTGGTTCAAATGTTTAGTGCTTGTCGTGGAACTTAATAGTCCTAAGTTCGATTATTGCTGGGATCGTGGATGTCCACTACCACTAAATATTTCAACACTAAGACGAAACAGTTGTATAGTGATTTCAGTAATTGCCTAAGGTTAATCGACGATACTACTCAAACAGGTTAGATTATAAACAATAAATAACGCTAAATTGGATGCTAATATGTACGAAGTTGAATGGTGTAATTTGCATGCAATTAACTTACATCATTTGAAGTCATTCCAACTTCAAATAGCCGTTTCAACTAAGAATTGGAAATCAGTTCAATCAATAAACGTTGAATTATATCAATGGTTTCCTGTTTAACTTGTAAATGGTTATTCAATCAGTTTTAAAAATGTATTCTTAACGTAGGTTAAAATCTATAATAAATAGAACAGTTATACTGGAATATGTATATCCGGCTATCATATTTCGCAGATGTAATAAACGGACATTAAATAACCGTACTCTTATAATGTTCATAATGCTAATTAATGTCTTTGCTGAAAAAAAAACAAGCAAAGAGCATTAAACTGTGAATGATACAGAAGAATAGGGTGTATATCATAATTTCTGTTTTGAGAATGCTAATTTAAATCTCTTTTATAACTTAGGTACGTTTAAAATTTTCCCTACCTTACTAGACTTAGGATTTGTAATTAACAATATCTGCGAGACTATAATTTATGGATGAACCAATTAGGTACGAGATAACAGGTCTTGGATTTCGACGCAAAATTCATCCATTTGGCAAAATACTGTTTTGGCATCATAGCTGATGTCAGTTTGTGATGAAGACCCTAAATCTAAATCGTAACCTTAACTATCAACTGTAAACAATCGTTCTAATTCCTCAAACTGATTTATGACCTTCATTTGGTTCTAGTTAATAGGTGATCACTCTGGTGTCGCTGAAAGGTCGTCCATAAATTATAGTCTCATCACAATATCATCTATGCGTTTCACTATGTTTACTCATGATGTAATAATGTAATTCAATAATCACCAATTGGAGCTATTTGTTCTCAACTCAAAGTTATATATATATCGTTTCTACATTTGATATTTTTATTTTTTAAAGGCAGTCTGTTGTTCCGATGGTATTCATTGTTGTCCAGCAAATACAGTTTGTGATTTGAAAGCAGAAATGTGTATTGGTGAATCAAGTGATATTGTCACTAAACTACAATTGAAATCTAAACCTAAATTTAATTCATTCAAATATAATTCACGTATTAGTATTTGCTCTGATATGAAATCAGTTTGTATTAATGGTACATGTTGTTCCAATAAAAATGATCAATTATCAACACTTTGTTGTCCTTATGAAAATGTATGTTTTAAAAGTTTATTTATTATTATGTGTTAGATTTTAACATTCTATTTGAATGTGTTTCATCTATGTTTTTTTCCGAGACGGACGGTTTATAACTGTATGTACCTGCACCTCAGAGTTGATGTTCATCCTGAGACTCGAACCCCGTACTGTTCGCTACAAACTCCATCGCGTTGTCCACTTAGCTACTGAGTCCTGGTAGCCACTTGCTTGTGCAATGCGGTGAAGTTTGAATTCACTTGGTGTTGTTTATTTTGAATCTTCCCATTGATGTTTAGGACTGTAATTAATCAGTTTCAGTGATGTCTTATATATTTTTTGTTGGATAAACGGTACTATAAGTTTTAGAATTAATGAATAGTGAGTAACTGTAGGATTCAGTAATCGCGTTTCGTCTTATTTTGAACTTATTATCTAAGTATATCTGCATCCTATCGTCGATGTTTAGTGTGTCATATAATTTATAACACTGTTCGTTCTTAGTTAAAATATAAAGTGCCTTTTATGTATTTATTTATTTAAACACATAAACATTGGTATAATTGGAGCGCCAAATACATACACGTTATACTTCGTCATTTGATTTGTTTGAGGGCTGGAATACTACCTGAAAGCCTCCCGGACAAGTAAACGGTTGGTGACTGTCGTACTCCATCATGCTTTGCTGTGTTTTTAGACAATCAGTTAGTAGTCATTCTATTTGTGTTCCATTATTATTGTTAATTAGGTCAATACTCAAGGCGAAGTTGACATCGTAAGTTGATAGTTATAGAAAAATTCAAAGATGTACTTTGAAATCGTTTGTTTAATTTTTTAAAAAACATATTTCAGTAGTATATATATTCATAATGATGTAAATTTATCATATGATTTATTCATCAGTCAGTCAGTCCAATTGCTTGACTAATATAATACAATGTTTATTATAATTTTTAGGCCGTTTGTTGCAACGATGGTGAACACTGTTGCCCAAAGGGTACAACATGTGATATGGTCAATGGTGGTTGTATTGTTTCACAAGAAGATTTATCAAAATCTAATTCTGTTCCATTGCTTACCAAGATCTCAGCTTTACATGTTACTTCCAAAAATAACACACAATCTACTGTTTTCACTCAAGTTTGTCCTGGTGGTAAAGCGAAATGTCCAGATAGTGCAACATGTTGTAAATTATCTAGTGGGGAATATGCATGTTGTCCAATTCCAAATGTGAGTTTCCATCAAAATAAGGGTTTTATTGATATAAATTAGTAATCATACTTCGATAACAAGCTTGGAGAGTTTATTCTTTTTTTTTACTTAAGTTGAATTATGATAAGTCAGTCCGCCTACTTGAACAATTGTTTCTAACTTTCCAGCTGCTTCCTATAATCACAGATTACACATACGCTTCAACTTGAACAATAGGAAAAATGAGAGGAATGTGAGTCAGCTCTTTACTTCAAGATGAGTTGTGTCAGTCACTCATAATGTAGAACCTGTTACGTGTGTACATCGGTTCAAGTCCCCATATCCAAATAACAGAGAGAGAGAGAGAGAGATGGAATTGTAAGGCGAAATCTTAGAATATTAGAGGTAGTAACAGTATCAGTGGTAATAGGAAAGATTAGATATCAGACACGATTTGTAAAGAAAATATAAATTAGTGAAATAAAAACAAAAGTAATGGTTATGAGGAATTCAGAATTTCGGGGATGACAAATAATGGATGCATCTGCACAATTGCAAACGATTTTGAGCCATGTGATTGAAGTCCCTAACCACTGGTAATGATAATCACGCGGATCTCAACCAGGTAGTCTACACCTATTAACATGGCCAAGTCCAACTGTCTATGGCTTTATGGACTGACGGCATGTTTTGGGTTTTCCGCCCCTACCTTTCTTCCAGATTACTCCTACACCACACAACATCGCCCTATGGAGATTGTAAAAGTTCGAATCCATTGATAAATATCGCGTGCCATGTCACCAATCACAGTCCTAATTCTAATTTGGTCTATTTCGCGTTTACCACTTTCTCGATAGCTTAGTTGTATAAATACACGCTCGATCAGTACCATCAGCTGTAAATCAAACAGCTCACCTCCTATTGGTCCGCCATTCATACACTCCTTTCTATGCCCTGCCCTGAGTCGAGGAGTAGCAACCAGCCTCCCCTACGTTTCTATTTCAAACAGACGCGTTTCGTATACAGACATACCAAACCACATTACACCATAGAACAAGTCAAAGGTGGCTGTGTATGGGAGAGGGTGTAAATAATGGAATGAGAACAAAATAGGTATAGTAATTCATATAACAGTACGGAATGAGTCGACCGAAAACCTATGATAAATGGTATATATCTAACAATTTTTTCAATGACCATGTGTTCTATAAATCTAAGAATGGGCCCTTGAAAATTTCTGTACAAAGCCTTAAAGACTATCTCAGGGTTGATCCTTTGACTTGTTTCAATTGTGTTTTGCAATCTAGGAGCCTGATTTTCTACTTTCTGCATTTATTCAGTTGATTAAGACTCAATATTCATTGAGCTATTTTGGCATATGCTCCATCACTGCTGATTGAATGGAGAATTAATCAAAATTTCTGTAGTAAAGGAGACAAGCAATCGTTAATTTCAGCATAGCCTTGAATCGTTTTGGCATAATCAAGAATTCGCTTTTCATAATGAGGATTTTAAACACTTTTTAGTGGATTGGTTTAATTTTTAAGCTTTCATTATCCTTCTAGATAAAGTCATCTAAAGATGCTTTTTTAAAGGATATTTTAGTGATGTTGTTTAGGACGATTAAAGCTCCATAGACCATTGAACCAACCAGTTCAGGAGAACAGAATACATTCAAAATTTTGAAAACTTGTTCAATATTTTATTGATTACGAACCGATTTAAGTTAGATTACCATTAAAAATATGGAAGCACTGGACAACTGTTTCGTTTTTGTATGAAATTTCTCAGTGGTGGTGCACATTTATGACACCGATATGGGGTACCGAACCCAAGACCCTGTTTAATATTGTTAGCAATGATTTGAATATCTGAATGCATCATTAACAATTAAAACATTTGTCAATAGTTTTTGTTTTATTAACATATTGAGATAAAGCAACGTTCTGGCTTTTGTAACAACAAAGTTTTCTATGATAAAGGTAGGTACTTGTTATCTAGTTTCAATGTTAAAGATGCTACCAGTCTCTCCCAATCTTAATTTTTCCCCAACCGGAGTTAAAAACAGTAGTCGGCGTTTAGATTCGTATGAACATTGGTTCGTTGGGTAAAGGAAATATGAAACTTTGTGGCAGGCCTATTAGCTACGGACAACTCAATCATGTTTCAGAGAACATCTTTTGAGTTTTTCGCGTTATCCATTCTATTTTTATGACTAAATACCATTCTGGCATTGTAGTTGATGAAAACCTCAACTCTCAAACTTAATTCCGAATTATCTTAATGAAAATAGTTGGTAGAAGTTTCTCAATTTGCTATTGTAGTATTTCTCAATGTTCGTATATAAACTACAGTCTTGCTAAAAAATTTAATTTTTTTCCTGGTTTTACAGTGTTCTTTTTGTTTCCTATCTTATTTAAAATTTCCTTTGGTATATCAATTTATAAATAATGAATCACACAAATGTAATGCCATTTATAACTTCAATTACTCTCGTATTTCTCCTTTCTATTAAACGGATACTAAATTGCTTAGAATAAACACTGAACGATTTATCCACGTATACAACTCATTCACACTACACTAGATACTCGGCCAGGATTATTCTATCAGACATCAATAAAATTAAAATCAAAAACACATAACTGACCTAAATAATACATGCATTAGCCAATAACCGACAATAATTAAACACAAAAGGTCGGGAAATATCTATGATACATCATCAAATACTTGTCAGACTAACTACCAGGTTTGTCAAAGTAACCCAACCAGTCTTTTTTTCTCTTACTCACACAACAGAAACACAATTGAAAACTATCATTTCACCTGTTCTCAAGATCTGATCATAAAAAATTCATGATATTTTCCAATGGATATAATAATTAGGTGATAATTTTGTTTTATATGAGCTACAATTAATTAGCTTATGTGTGTTAATCAATCAAATTATTCTCAGTTGCCCATTTTATGTAATGATGCTTCTTGAAGAAACCGGAGTTTTATTGATTGTGGTGACCTGGGAACGTGGCTGCAGTACCAGAGGAACAACTCGATTTTTTTTGGAATTGTTGTCGATGAGTTAGTTTTGTACTTTAAAGGTCCTATTACTGGAGACAAGAGTTTATGGGATAGGAAAAATTGTCACATTCTTAGGACTGGCGCTTTTTTAACCCCTCCTTTTTGTTACAGCACCACTGCAAGTGTTGGTTATCTGGAGGAAACAGCTTGCAACAGCAGCAGTATGACTTCACTATTGGACCGTAAGTTGTTACTTTTAGTCTTATGGTTTTGAGATGGTGTAGAAGGTTTGTAGCTAATGTGAATGACTTAGGTGGAGTTTTGTTCTGGGAGAGCGATCATCATCACATCAAGGTTGGGATACTAGATCACAAACTAGTTTTGCCAATTGGAAAACAAGCTGACTTTTCTTTTTTTTATTATCTGATTTGTGAAATTTGTAAAAACTGTCCACCTTTTCTTCAAATTCTGTATTCTTATGTTCAATTTCATTATAGGCTATTTGTTGTACCGATGATATTCATTGTTGTCCATCAGGAACTTCATGTGACTACAAAACTCTGTCATGTATAAAAACGGACAATGGTCATTCAATTGGAAGCCCAACAGCTAATGAATTATTACATAATCCTGGATTGTTGTTTACTGGAGTACGTGATCATGTTTGCCCTGGTCATCAATCTACATGTGCTGATGATCAAACTTGTTGTCCATTGCCTGATAAATCATGGGGTTGTTGTCCACTGAAAAATGTATGTGTTATATATATGTATATGTATATATTTTTTAAATGGAGTTTAAATATACATAGTTTATATAATTCATTATGAATTTCTTAGAATTTACCCCAGGGTTGTTCATTTTGGCATCAATATAGTACATTAAAGTGATTAAATGCTGTGCCTGGATATCATTTCACTTTTATTCTCAAGCACATTTTAAGTAGTAATGTTCGTATTTATATCTTTCGTTTTTATTTATTTATTTAGATGTCGTAAATTTCACTTCTGTCTATTTGTTTGACGTCTTTCTACTTATATCCTCTTAGTTTTTTTTTGTAATATTTCCGTAAAATTACCGTTCTCCAAATGCATTGTCTCACTCATTATGTGTAATCTTGAGTGTTGTTAAAGGTACTATGGAGGAATTGTCAATTTCAGATCATTCAAGTTGTGGAAGAATTCTTCTTTAGTTACGTGAAATTGAAATTGTGTTAGGGTTAACCTTAACAATCTAGGAGCTTGGCCGCTAGAGTCAGGAGAAAATCAGATAAGTTCGATCACTCACAACCTTTCTGATATTAGAAGAGAGACGATTGATTAAATGACTAAGATTCATTGACAATGAAACATGCATTTATTTATTATCTTCACCTAGATTTCAATTTCGACTATTCGTTTATGCACATTTTTTTATTCTGTCGTCTTGAATGGTGTTCTCATTGTTTTATCTTTCTCATTTTCAGTATAGGGTTGTGGGGATTGTTGAGTTTTAATTGAGCTCATGAACCGATAAATGTTAGACCACTATTGAAAACCTGGAGGAACTGTGGACGGCTCTTTCTTCTTAGTATGATACTGATAATTATCATATGTTCACTGGTGACTAGATTTGAGAGGTAATTGTCGGGGTTTAACTGAGAAGCCGTAACCACAGGAGTTCAACTGTGTCGGATATGAGGCAGTTACCTACCGAAGTCAATGAGAGATGGTCGCCTAATATTGTCGGTTGACTAAAGTCAGATATTAACACCGTTGGATGCCGGCTCATTGGTTTAAAGGTTAAGCGTTCGTGCGCGCATCCGAGGGTCCTGTGTGTGAGCTCGTGGATGCACACTGTTGAGGAGTCCCGTACTGGGACAAAATGGCCGGTGCTTCCAGGTCTTCTTACTTTCAGTCCTACTAAATTATTTCCACTCCGTTGTTAGTTATTCCGGCCATTTTACCTCGCTATGTTAATGTGGTGCAGAAGCTTAGATCATCTTATATTTATGCTAGACTGTTGATTATAACTAATTACTGACTCTTCATTATCTCTCTCTCTGTATATATATATATATATATATATATATATATATATATATATATATATATATATATATATATATATATATATCCCCAAATGCCCTGGTAAGGCCGAGGGTGGGGAGAGCCAGCTCTCCCTCTCGAAATGCTCTCACATGTCCACTTACATACAACCACTGCTAGGGGAGTCCTACTCGCTGCCTTCTCGTGGCGGGGTTGTTGTTTATGAAATTGACAGAACGAAAAGCTAATGTCCAGCGCTTTAACCGTCTTCGTGGATACCGAGGATTCACCTAGGGGAGTCGAAAACCCTGATTCCAAACCAATGGTGCATATTGGTTTCAGGATCCTAAAGAAAAAAATGGCTTATGAGCCTACTGTTGGTCACCGACTACTATGGGATTGCATCTCCTTAGGTTGCTCCACTTCCTTGTGGATTATTAGAGCTTTAGGCTGAATGCTCCGGTTGTGGCTCCCTAAGAAAATCATCTACTTCAGTTTAGTCACCCGGGCAGTATCCCTGCCCTTACATAAATCGAATGATTTATGTGGCGCATATCTGTTCGATCCCTCTTTGTACCAATGTTTATGTGTTTAAATAAATTATATATATATATATATATATATATATATATATATATATATATATATATATATATATATATATATATATATATATATAGTTGTTTGTGTATAGTGTGCCAGTTCAATCTCGTGCATAGCTACACATCATCATATCTATCCATCCTCATTTGTAATTAAACAACAGATTATTTGAAAAAATAAGCCATAATTTAATGAACAATCAATGCAATTATAACTAATTTTTGCATAAACTTTAACTAGTGATTCGCAATTAGTTATTATTCTATAGACAGTTAATCGATTACATAATCAAAATTTCATCGGTTTGTCATTAGTATACCAATGTGAAATATTTGAAACAATAAAAAAAAGGTTTGACACCATTTATGTATAATTAAGAGGTAGGTATTTACATGGTAACCATGAAAATTGTTATACTGTTTGTCATAAGTTTGATTAACTTCATTGAATGGTGCAAGAATCGACTAATTATTGATTTAATGTAATGATTTATTCATAGGATAAGAGTTATATTGTTTCGATGATAGAATTCGCTTATTTTCAGATGAACAGAACAAATATTGTTAAGTTGTAAGTATACAATGTATTTGTGTCATTATTAGTGTGTTAATATTATAACTTAAGATGCTAATCAATATCACGTTTGATATTATCTAGTCAGCATTCCGATTGTCAATTAGTTCAGCTATATATATATATTGCCAGTAGGATTAGTGACTTTCAATTGCACAGACTAATATACCCACTAATGAACTACAATCAAGGCCTTAACACGCTTATTGGTCCTCAAGCTCCTTCTAACCCCAGTGATCAATCAGAAGATGACTATAGGATTCAGATTAGTTCTCTATTGTAGCCAATTCAATTATGATTCAAAAGTTATACAAAAATATACTTAAAATGACAACACAACACACCAAATAAGAAATCTTGCTGTAAATAGTATTATGCTGATCGCGGGCTAAACAGTCTGTAAGTAGTTAGCAATAACTAAGGAACATTCAAATATGTAACGACAGTTAATAGATCCACTGATAGCTTACGATAAAGGAAACACAGAAATGCGGCACTGCAGTTATCTTCTAATGACGCCATAAAAGTATAGATAATAACAATTTGAATGGTAGTTTTGAAATCCTCAACTTTTTCAATATTTTCATCCCGTTATAACAGCTGGAGATTGCTAAATTTTGAATTTTCACATTATGATTAATATCTTCAATGGTCATGGGATATAGCGAATTGAATGAAGCGAGGGTTGTAAACTATTAGGTGGCATTTATGTGGTTTGAAGGATAGACACTCATCACAATGCTTACAGGTCCTCGATTCAATCTCTAGTTGAGTCGTGGACCGAATTCCTAATGAGTTCCATGCTCGGATAAAACAAGTGTTCAGTATTTCTTGATTTTTAATGTTTGCTTTACTTAGATAAAATAAATACTCTGGCACGTCTGAGAATAGGAAGAGTTCACTCTTCCTCTAAAAATGCTCTCATATTACACGTTATTGTAACCTTTGTTAAGGAATACTCACTCACTACATTCACACAGCAAGTGTGTTGTTTACGAAAATGAGAGGAATAAAACCGGACGTCCGTCGGTTACATGAGGGTTGGTAGACAACAACAGTTCATCTAGGGGAGTTGAAAAAACCCTGATTCCAAACTAATGGTGCAGATTGGTGTCAACCTTTCGAGCGATCAAATGGCGTACGAAACTACTATAGTTACCGACTACTATAAAAATCCATTGCTTAACGTTTTCCTACTGGTTTGTGAATTAAGTGTCTACATCAAAAGCTCTACAAGAGGCTTCAGAATAACGGTACCCGTTACGATTTAGACTTATCAATGCAGTATCTCATACAAATCTCTTACAAATATTTTCATGATTTTTGTCTTGCAAATACTATTTATTGGCTCCGTCCAAATTATACAAGATTTTATATGAATTTAATAGATATCCATAGTTAATCTACAGAATGAAATTTTGTTTCTGATACATTCACATTCTACTTTCCTGGCTCTTTCTATATCTCATATCTTGACAACCTTTAATGTTTCTTCTTATTATTATTATTATCATTAGTGAATTAAGAATACCATCAATTATTGTACAAGTTATTATTTTTATCTCAACGTTTATATTAAAATGAATGTATAATAAGGAGGTATTACTTCGTTACCTACCTACCTACCTATCTGGCTCCCTATCTACCTATCAACTTTCAGGGTTTTTTTCGTATTGTATGTTAAGACATAAATATAAATGACTCTAATGTCCTTTTAGTCATAGCAACAGAATAGTAATAATAATAATTGTTATTATTATATAGGATTGTTTATCTAATCAATCAAATTAATTTATGTATATTTCCTTTTGTCGAGAAAAAAAAGACACAATATGAAATAAACAGAATGAAATACCATTCGATAAATATCATAAAATTTCATGGTATTTGTTTAAAATTTATTACATAACTATTTTAATGGTACAATTAGGTTAGTTGTATATGATCATCAAATCGATAAGTTACTAACAGAACGAGACTGAGCCTTGATTTCTAATGGGATTCAATTTTGTATGGATTAGTTGTGTTCTCTGGTTTGTTCTGAGTAGTTTAATCTTGAGGCTTTTATTGTCTTTCTACTTAATATGATTCATCAGCACTCATTCCGATTAGAGATAAACTGTTTGTGTTTTTAAAAAAAATTAATTAACAACTCGTTTTCCTATATTAGATCACAAAGTGATCTTAGCTAGACTACCATTGAAAACTAGGAAACACTCAGTTGCCTAGGTGTTAAGCGTTCACAATCCCTTTGTTTGTGTCGTGGTTGCGTGTTGCTACTGAGAGGTCTCATACTAGAATGTAATAACTATTCAGTGCTTTCTAGTTTTCCGTTGTGGTCTACCTAAGACCATTTCATGACTTAAAACTGCAAAAAAGATTACTGTCTCTGCAAACACTAATGTATAATAGCAAGTTGTTTTGTTAACCTTAATATTGATCGATTATTGTGTCGATACATTTGTTTTATCATTGTATATTTGCACATCTCTCATCGATTGTCTCTTACAAACTTCATTGTTCCTTCATTTCTGTTGTTATTACGAGTGCTCTATGTTTACATTCCTGTTCTCTGCAGTTCTGTTTTCTCAACATTCTGCTGCCAGGCATTCCACTTACGATTGATGCTACATACTGTTTATGTCAACAGACATAAGTAGCATGCATCATATATTTATTTCCTTGATCTCATAGTTTTTAGTTTTTTCAATTGGCTAATAAATTGGATTGGTTTTTACATGTTTTATTGGTGCTTTAAATGTTAAACTTTCAAAACTATTGTGACATTCCCCGTACTCTCTCCATCTTAGATCTTAAATGGTCGAAGAATCATTGACTTAACAGACATGAGTATATCTTATATGAATATTCGTCAAAATTTGAATGAACGGTTCGACAGAACTGAGGCATAAAATGTATACAGAAGACATTAAACTACATAAATTGTATTTGAAATCATCTCAGTGATTGAAGTTTAAGTAATTCCAATGCTTTGCCCAACCTGTTTGTTAGAGTTTCTTTAGGGAAATAATAGAAATCATGAATGTATATTTAGAGATCAGATTTTTTTTAATACAAGCTAATATCTGTAGACTTGTAGTTCAAAAGAATTGTCAACAAACGTTAGATGACTAGTAGGTAATTTCTGATATATGTAATCTAATATTGTGAATATTTTAATTCTAAATAACATTCAACAGAGAACTATTCATCATCAAATATAACTGGATTTCCTTTTCATCTTTGTTGGAGACTCAAAGGTTCGTATTGATAATTCAACATAGGAAAATTTGTTAACTGTGTACTACTTCTAAGATTTTAACATTAGAGAATAACTGATCCAACATAGAAGTTTAATCACATCTTTCAAATTCAACTGGGAGAAAGAAATCTGACATTTAATCTTATTTATTAGCACCAGTCGTTCGAGGAATTCCCCTCCAAAATTCTGAAATTAATATCAACATTGATATTCAGTTTATGAGTGTTCATTTCTTGACCGATGTACAAAACCGATAAACACACTACCTTCCAATAAACACATTCCTGATATCGTCACATATGTTAGATTATTTCTTGATGCATTGAATTTTGTAATAGTTATTTATTCATTAGTTGATTTCAATGACCGATGAGTTTACTTTTCTTACTAAACAAATTAATCTGGTTTCATCATAATAAGAGAGAAACTTCCGTTTCGTCACATGTATCTAATTTCATACTTGTATTAAGCAATCGTAAATTTACTCTAATCCCCTCCTAACTAGATTGTTTCAATATTCTTGAAATAAAATTATCAAATAACTTCCTAGATTCAATGGTAGTGTATCGTTACAGTTAAAATCATCAAATGTTTAGTTTATTTGATGTTTTTAATCATGTGTATCTTTGTTGGGTTTTTTTAACTGGTTCGAATACACATTGTTCTCCTTCCCTTCTGTTTTTGTTCTGATTTGGGAAGAGTCAAGTGAAGTATGGAGTATGTTTAACGACTATTAGACAGTAGAATAATATATCATGTTTTTGGTGGAGTTTTGTTCTCTGAGCTGGTTGGTTTGGTTCAGCTCAGAGAACAAAACTCCACCAAAATCATCCACCTGATCTACAAATCTTCTCCACCATCTCAACATAGAATGCTATTTTGAAGAATTCAATCATTTTCCTAACAATATTAATTATTTACTTTAGCTATAGTTAGTGTGTAGTGATAGGTGTCTGATCGAACTAAGTCAATTGAATACAATAGACATTCCTAAATATGTAACGATCTAAAATTCCATATAAACATAAATATAATTTTCTTGAAGTTTTCACTTAACATGATCTCAGTTGATATTCGTCTTGAATCTTTTATAAAAAAAATAAGATAATATTATTCTGTGTTTCTTTTTTACTTTAGGGTATTTGTTGTGGTGATCATCTTCACTGTTGTCCAGCTGGTTCAATTTGTGATTTAGATACAAAACAGTGCATTTTACAAATTGAATACAATCAATCTACCACAAAAATAGTTGATGATGGGTTTACTATGCACAAAGCTAATCAAAAATTATCAGATAGTTTATATTCACAACCAGTAGAATCTATTAGTACTATTGATACTTTTATACAAGCAAAGTGGTGTGGAGCATGTGGTGACACTTGGGCTTGTTGTCCAGATGTTACTTTTACTTCATGGTCATGTTGTCCTTATGTAGGCGTAAGTTACAATGATAATTTTAATTGGATTATTATATTATATTGATAGGTCTTGCTACCGAAACGCTTAAACTGTCTTCCCAGTTACTTCCGATAATTTAAAGTTACTTCTACACATCAACTGGAATACTAGGGAGAGAAGACGCGAATTTGAATAAAAGCTTTACTTCAAGGTTAGTTTATGCTATCGACCGAGTTGCAATATCAGTCAGTCAGCTACAACGTAGGACCAGACACATATGTGCATCGGTCCAAGTTGCTATACCTCATTAACACAACAAAATGGACACCGGATTCATAAAAGTAGTTAATTCAGAGGTGGTAATATATAAAAGAAAGATTGCAATAAGGATATAGTACAAGAAGAAAGAATTAGCTCGTAGAAAGAAAGAAATGAAACGATTTTAATCGCTTAGTTTAAGGGAAGACAGGGAGTGTATACACCGACGCCATTGTGATCGATTCTGAGCCATGTTACCAAGAGTCTCCAACCATTGATTACGAAAGTCACGCGGACCCCAATCAAGTAGTCTGCATCTACCAACATGGCTCAGACTAGAGGTTAGTGACTTCAAGCACTGATGCCACGTTTTGGTTTGGCCGCCCCTTTCTTCCAACCATTTCCGACACCGGTTAGCCTTGCACGTCGTGGTAGTCAGTGTTCGGGCATACGCAACACATGACCAAACCATCTCAGTCGATGAAGATTCACAACCTCATCAACTGATTTACCATCATTCCCTAATACCCTGCATTTAACCTCACTATTACTTACCTGGTGATCCCAGCAGACGCCAGCAATATTTCTTAGGCATCTGTGGTCAAATACCACTAGCTTATGAGTATCTTCTACTCTTAAAGGCCATGTTTCACTGCCGTAAATTAAAACAGAACGGACTGCCGCGTAACATACTCGTCCTTTTATTGATAGACGAATATCTCGCCTTCGCCAAAGGTGACGTAAGTTAGCAAAAACCAAACGAGCTTTTCGAATCCGTGCAATATAGCCACTAGTTTAGGTGATTCGACATTTCGTGCACTGTGTTGTGATAAGATGGTGGTTGGAGGTAGTCAACAGGAATCCCTGGGCCTAGGTTTCGTGCTGTTTGGCACTCGTCAGCATGGTTTACCTGTAATCTTGAGGGAACTGGTGCTTCCTGACAGATTCGACCCCGTGTCACCCAGCTTCATAGTCAGAGACGTTAACCCGAATTATTTTCATCTTTAATGGATTTTGATGAATAGTTAATTAATATCAGTTCACTGTCTATGAAATATCTAAATTATGTATGTGTTCTACATGTTTTAACTCAATTATGTAGTACTTAATTGGTTTGTGTAGACTGTAGGAATTTCTATTTTATTGTTAATTTAGGGAGAATGTTGTATTGGACAAAATACTTGTTGTCCTCCTGGATCACGTTGTTTAAATAATGGGAAATGTGAAAAGATCCAAAAGAATATCATCAAATCATCAGCACCTACTTTAATACCATCTATTTCGATGAATAACAATATACAAAGACCACATTTCATTAAACAAAATAATGAAAAAGAAAACTTCCAGATAGAAATGTCCAACAGTGCTAAACCTGCTCAAAGGAATATTCTTCTTCTGTAAGTAGATTTTCCTTCTCTTTTTTGTACGTTTAAAATGGTTTTTCTTGTGGTCTGTGTCTGATGATATTGGAAGTTGATTATAGAGCCTGTTTATTGATTTGTTCACTTTAAGGTCATTTAATCAACGATTTTATATTTGACCGATGATACTATGATGTTTATTTGACCAAATAACTCAATGACCTAATCAACACAAGAATAATTTCACATTTTATGGTTTAAAAACTCCATCTTACCCTAGTGTCCAACCAGAAAACGATGTTAAGAGCGAGCTTTCAGTAGACCTGGGAAAGTGTTTCGCGAACTAGAATCATTGATCATGGTTACATTTGAGGGGGAAACCAAAAGAGCAAGTTTAGAGTTGAAAGTTGACGTAGGAGGAATAATAGGAACTGAAGAGGGAGATCGATTATGAATGCAGTGATCTTGAGTGTTGTTACACGTATGAAGTAGCTTCTAGGGAAAAAGAGGTAGAGAAGATTGAGTTAGAGATTCGAGAGCCTCAACTTCGTAAGCGATTGTTGGAATCAACACCGAAACCTCTAAACAAAGTGATAAAATCGAGGGAGATTACCGAGTTATCTGGATCTCGATCCGAAGACATAACTCCCGCAGCTACAGCTAGTCACTGACATACTAAAACAGCTATGAGCGATGAGTTGGAACTTAAAGCACACATAGACAGCGTCAAGTCACTATCCATGACGGCAAGCCTACCGAAGATAGAGATCATGAAATTCGACGGAGGTCCTCTAAGATTTTGGACGTTCATGAAGGGATTCAAGGTTAACATCGCCGACAGAGTAAACGATGACACTCAGCGATTAATGTATTTGATACATTATCGAATCGAGATCCAGATAACTCGGTAATCTCCCTCGATTCTATCACTTATTTAGAGGTTTCGGTGTTAATTCCAACAATCGCTTACGAAGTTGAGGCTCTCGAATCTCTAACTCAATCTTTTCTACCTCTTCCCTAGAAGCTACTTCATCTTCTATTCTTCATCCAGTCTCCACATAGGTATCTACTAAAGGACAGCTATCTTCGGGTTTTGGTTTAACATTATCAAAAGCAAGATTTAAAGAAGTAGGTGAGTTCACCTTAGAAACTGAAAGAACAGTATTTTCAGCACTCGAGTCCTCTGTACCTTCGGAATTGTCGCCGTTGTACTTCATTTTTTCGTCCTCGTCATTGTTGGGACAAATTAGCCAAACTAAATTCCCACCAATATTCGTTACAGCAAGTATCCACACCAATTAGGACCAAAGTTGAGAACTGTTAAGTCTATCGAAGCGTCCAAGTTACCCGGTTGAGATACGCGCAAAACCGAAGTTTCCAAAACAACGATTTGTCTACAATAGCGGTTCTTTATTGAATAATACACAAAATTTAGTTACAAACCTCAACTTGTGAGGTGTCTGGGGCGTTTAAACGCGTCCTTCAAGTATGAAAATAAACAAGGCTTCCTGTAACAGTAAAATAAAGAGTAATTATAACATACGATAGTACAAAGGACAGCTGATAGCTGTGTCTATGTTTGACAACAGTTTATGAACAACCGAAACCAGAACCAAGAGCAAAACAATATGGAAACTGTTGCGTTTAAACAACTGTACGAAACTGTGGATAACCACTGCAGTGGTTAAGGTACAGTAATTATAATGATAAGTACAATAAACGTTATAAGTATATGTGAACATTTCAGAATATTACACTTCAACTTGCGTTTCAACATAAGTTTAAAAATTGTTGAGAATACAACTGCTTACTGAATGTAAATAAATAGTATAAAACAATATACAAAGGATTGGAAGGGGAGCGAGTAGGAACAATGTAAGAGGAACTTAATCATGTGTGCCATCACGATAGGAGAATATTCGTAAGTTAATAGTATTCGATCAGAAGTGTCTTCGAAGCATCGCTTTTGTATTTTGAGATCTCTTAGTGGGCATTACTGAGGTTAGGGTTAGGATACTAGGTAAGGATGACAATTCAATTGATGAAGTAGTAAATCCTCATCAACTGAGGTGGTTGGAACATGTGTTACGTATGCCCAATCACTGCCTACCTCGACGAGCGTTATTGTCTTATATGGGGATAGACTGGATAAAATCTAGGGGCGCCCAAACTAAAATATCGCACCGATCTATGAAGTCATTGACAATCGAACTGAGCCCATGGTAATGGATGTAGACTACCTGATTGGTATCTGCGTGATTATGTTAACCGATTTTTGGAGACTCTAGGTTATACAGGTCAAAACCGTTTATAATAGCACAATTGCACTCATTTCTGGTCTGTCTCTATAACCTAACTCCCCAAATCTCATTAAGTCTTTATGTCGTTTTGTACACACAATTTTTTTTATTACTACGGATACTATTATTTATTATTTATTTATTTCAACACATAGATAATGGTACAAAGAGGCACCAAATACATATGCGCCACACAAATCTCATCCGATATGTGTGAGGGCTGTGATACTGCCCGGGTGCTATTACTACTTCTACTACTCTGGAATTTGCCTTAAAATGATCCTATCTCACTGTGCTAATATAGTATGGTAGATTGAATCGATGCACATATTGCTCAGGTTCTGTATTACATATGACTACCACTAATCATTGAAAAAAATTAACTGGCATCGTCTTAGTCCGAGATTACCTACAAAATGAACAGGTTCCAAACATTCTCTATAGCTTTTATACAGTTTACATTAGATTTTATTACAAGAACGTTTGTCGGTACTTGCGGGTGGTTATATTATAAACTTGCAATATTTTTAATTAATTTTCTTTTCTCAATAAATACATATTAGTGTTCGTCATTATCGACGTCTTAAACGACAATTGCATACAATTTGTCCTGATTCATTACACTATTGTGGTAAATCTGAACAATGTTGTCTTTCGAATAAATTTGGTTATACTTGCATACCGAATGAGGTATGTTCCTTTTTTGTATTTTTATTCCAAATCAATTATAATTGTAATTTTTTATTAATTATTGTTATTTTGCACAGTAAAAGGTTTTTAACTGACGAAAGAAATTACTATGACTTTAAGTGTCTAGAGTGATTTGTGAAATTAAGTTTGATTATATACATTCGCTATTCATCCTCTCAATTTGGTAAGCAACACTACCACTGTGAGAAAGCAGTTGCCATATGGGAGAATTTCGAGAGGGTGAGCGGATTTTCCCCACCATCGACCGCACTTTAACCGGGTTGGTGGATATGAAGTGTTCATTTAGGGAAGTTGGAAAACCCTGATTTTAAACTAATGATGAACATGGACTCCAGAATCCTGATGTCACCGTCTACCATAGGATTACATCTTTTGACGTTGCTTCACTGTCTTGTGGATTAGACCTCTGGGTGAAAGGCTCGAGGAATGGCCCCCTAAGGAAATTACTTTCTTCGTTTTGGGCCCCCAAGCAATATTCCAGGTCTTACACAAATCGAATGATTCATGTGGCGCATATACACTTGGTACTTCCTTGTACCAAGGTTCATCTGTTTAAATAAATAATTGGAACTGATTACAGACCGTGTTAAAGTCATCAAAACTATGAATTTAAGTATGTTTAATATTCAATATTATGTTACTTGTATATGTGTTTATTTATTGTTACACATATATTTTCATTACATAAAATGTTATCTTCATATAAATAGCATTAGGAAAACTAATTGATCATTGTTGTTAGAATGGGGATTTGTGGAGATTTGTATTAATTTTAATAGTTGCATTGATGAGTCGATCTAAGCTAGATAACCAGTGAAGATCTGTGTTGGGTCGGTTTCCGGAGAACTCAAACGGAGCCTCCAGAGGCCCAAAAGGAGCCGAAGAGTCCTAGCCAATCAGTGTATGATGGTACGTTCTAGAATTCCAGCGTGGCGTGCTACTATTGGTCGGTAGCATAATATGACGTTAACGGATTGGCTGAAATATGATGTTGATTTAACAGACGCCAACCTTGGGATAAAGTACTTTCTCTCATACTTGTGTCTTCTCTCTGGTGTTCAAGTCGCTGTGTAGTTCTAAACTGCGGGTTACCAAAATAGCTTAGGAAACTAATATAGCGTTCAATCCACCCGACTTATCAATCTGGACTCACTTAAGTGAACACTTTCAATGCTTCTAGGTTTTCAATGATTGGTGTAGCTTAGATTGACTCATGAATTCAACTAATAAGATAATTGTTGTTCTATATTGTTATCTTCAAATTGTCGTCGACATTTTTTTTGTTCCATTTTTTTTTCAGTCCATATGTTGTGAATCTAGTATGAATACTTATTGTCTAATATCCAAGGATTGTTCTCTAGACGGAAAATTCTGTGTTGATAAGTATTAGTTTCATTATTATCATAGTTATTTATAATTGGATGATTATCATTCTATATATATGTGTGTGTGTGTGTGTTTATGGATTATTACAAATCTTGCCATTATTATAAATTTGAATTTGTAACATCTCTTATCCATGTTACTATTTGTGATTCTATTCAATTTTCATTATAATTACTGTTTAATATTTTTCTATTGTTAAGATATTTTCATCTATTTATTAAATAAATTTCATTTTGTGCTCTTTTACACTTGATCTATAATTGATTTTATACTACAATGTAACAGAGATAAGTAAAGTTGATTTCATATGTGAATTTACATTCAGTTGAGCAGTCTCGGTTACTTACTTACTCAAGCCTGTTACTCCTTGTGGAGAAGCATAGACCACCCACCAGCACCCTCCATCCAACCTTGTTTTGGATAGTCCTTTCCAGTTGTTATTCATCCTTTTCATATCTGTATCTATATCCCGACGTAATGTGTTCTTTGGCCTCCCTTTTTTCTGCTTCCCTTCAGGATTCCAAATTAGGACTTGCCTCGTGATGTAGTTTGATGATTCCCTCAGTGTATGCCCTATCTAGTTTCATCGTATTTTACTAATTTCCTCTTCAACCGGAAGCTGGGTTTTTCTCTGCCATAGTCAGGTGTTGTTGATAGTATCCGGCCAATGGATATTGAGTATCTTGCGTAGACAACTGTTTATAAATACTTGTACTTTCTTGATGATGGTTATTGTAGTTCTCCAAGTTTCACCTCCGCTCAGTAGAACTGTGTTGACGTTCATATTGAAGATTGTGACTCCGATATTGGTGGATAGTTTTTGTGAGTTCTATATGTTCTTTAATTGTAGGAATGCAGTCCTTGCTTTGCCAATCCTCGCCTTTACGTCTGCATCAGATCCTCCTTGTTCATCGATATTGCTTTCCAAGTACATGAAAGATTCCCGGTTAGATAGAATAAAATATACATCGTAATATTTCACAAATAGCTACAAATCGTTCTCAGTTCTGTTCACAGATCCATACTTTCTTCATTGATTTTTCTCTAAAATATAAAAAATTCATAGATTATCATTTTTTCGTTACTTTTTATTTATTCACGTCTGTTAATTCTATTAAAACATTCAACTACACAATAGAAATACACATGAAATAGGCTTTAGAATAATTTGTAGAGAATGGTTTAATCATTAACGAATATATACCAGTTGGTTACAAATCTCAACTTGTGAAGTATCTATGGCGATTAATGAGTCTATATGTCTGGAAAGAGAAAGGCTTGTTACAGTAACTATGTCTAATATTAACGAAAATTTATCAACAATCAAAGTGCATGCAAACTAACATTTTGATTGAGATCATGAACCGATTGATGTTAGACCACCATTGGAAACTAAGATCCATACAAATAAAGGGGGTTTTCACGTTTAAACAAAGATACAATAAGAAAAATTTTAAACTATAAGTAATTGTTATAAGGGTTAAGAGAAAGTAATTATAATGAATTATATATCAATTGTTATTAGTTCATGTAAATGCTTGGTGATGTTACACAACGGTAAATGAAAGCTACACATTATAAATTGCTAAGAATGGGACTACCTACTGAATAATAATAAGTAGTAGAAACCAACATACGAATGGCAGATGAATAATGAATGAAAATATACGTCATTAGTTGGAATGTAGATCTGACCTTTCAGATAATGATCCGTTTAAATTTTACAGTAATATATTTTATCACTTTTGTTCACATTGTGTTTAAGTTGCTCATAGTGATCATCAGATAAACACAAGTGTATAAGAAGAAATATCCTGTTTTATTTGAAATCCACCTGAACGAGAGTACACTGGAACAGTATACGTGTTTCGTAGGATTGTCGACTTTAAACAAACTTTTTCATTCATAGTCTAGCACGAGTGTGTGTTGACTCAAGTTGTCATACTGCTTTAATAATAATGGCCAAGAGAATCGAAATGATGTAGTAGCAATGGTAATGAGAAATATTGAACTTTGAGAATATATTCTGAGAAAAATGACGGGAAAGGTATGTGTGAAGAAATACTGGAATTGAAGATCGAGAGAAGGATAAAGAGTATATGCCACCTCACCATTGTGATTGATTTAGAGACATGTCACACATTATCTCTAACCACTGAGAGGGGTTGATTCGCATACCACAATTAGGTAATCGGGATCTATCTGCTAGTCTCAGACCAAAAATTAATAGTCTTCATATAACCGTTAAGATAACTGGAATGAATTTGATTTATTATAATTACCGGTAAACTATGGTCCGCTACAATATGGAGAATTACTGCATACGTCACTGTTCTTCCACTTTGGCGCAGAATCACATCCGCGTACAGCGTACATGTGACGTGCTCTGTCATTACCAACATATACTGATTCCCATTAGACGTTTTATATCATATTGATTACTATGAAGATGACACAGGTATTCAGTGTCTGACAACGCTTTTACCACTAACACCTAATATAACTCGTACCCACCGAAGGAAATCAAAAGATAGAATCGAGGAGATCAGAAGTTGTATTTGACGATTGCCAATATATCGGAACTGTCTGACCTAGTCTGGCTAGCGATTGCAGTAGATGTTGAGCACAGCGTTCCCACACGTGATCTGGTGCGGATGCATGACCAAGCGTCTCTAGCTAGATGATTCCGTTAAAACTAATGTGGTCAACATCCAATATCGAAGACTTACAAACAGAGTTATTGATTTTGGAGATTTATTACAAAATAATCACAAGTCGATAACTGTCGAGTGACAAGTAACACTCGATAGAAGTTTCCTGTTAATTCATGACTCCTCGTCAATGTGTATTAGATTATCACTTCATTTAAGCATATGTGTAGTGCATATACTCTTTACAACTTGATGGCAAAGGAATACAAACTATATGTAATCTACTACGTAAGCTGAGACAGATATGGTCAATACTATAAGAGATCATATGCTTCTCTCTTCATATTCATACAAGTAAAAACAAGATGGTTGTTCAAATATCTTTATTTATATCAATGTTTGTGGATAATTGTTTGCATGAATCGGACTTGTAAATCGTCAAAATATTCGACAGAGACAATATAAATTAAATCAGAGGATAGTTAGAAATCCGAAACCGAGTTCATTTAGCTATCATCAGGTATATTCCAGTAGAATGAATCTATCAGTCAGTATACAAAATGTTAAACAGAAAACAGATCACGAAGGAAAGACGAAAATCAAAGTAGGCGTGTGGATATTAGTATTGGATTTATGCACAATAATCAATCAGATTAGATGTCAATAGATTAAGCTATTAATCACTTGCACAAGAATGTAACTAACTCACCATATTCCTGATGTTGTTGTCCAGAAGGACAATGAAGTATTCACAATCAAATTTTCAAACTCACAAGATGAACATTCTTCTCTCTTACATTTTAAATACAATACCATTTGTAATCAAATCCCTATAAATGGTATGGTGATGCAATTGTAGCTGTAAATAAATCTCCAAAATCAATAACTCTGTTTGTAAGTCTTCGATATTGGATGCTGACCACATTAGTTTTAACGTAATCATCTAGCTGAAAGCTCTCGGTCATGAATCCACACCAGATCATGTATGGGAACGCCGTGCTCAACTTCTCCTGCAATCGCTAGCCAAATTACATCAGATGATCCTCGATATATTGATAACCTATCAAATATATCTTCGAACCTACTCGCTTTTGTCTTTTGATTTCACTAGTTGGGCACGATTCATATTAGATGTTACTGGTTGAAGCGTTATCAAACTCCGAATACCTGTGGTACTTTCAATTTCATGATCACATCCAGTTTCAAAATATTGAAGAGGTTTTTTTACTTATCAAATACAATCTTTCTATAATACTCTGAATAGCCTCTAATGGATTGAAGACAAATAAAAAATCACTGATCATTCTTGAACATTTAAAGTGAAGTTATGTTTCATGTATTATCAGAAAAGCGTTCATTGTTTTAAGAATATTGACTTCTTAATAAGGAATTAAATACAGTGTAATTAACTATTCCAAACTGTAAAACCAGAATTAGTGAACAAACAATGATACAGCAATCCATTTATTCAACAGTTGTAGCACGTTTTATTCACTGATACAACAATACTGGCATGATGACAATCACAACTGTTTTCATTGAATATTCTCACTGACTTTGGATTGCAACCACGAACTACAGACTCCACAATTGCGAATGGGTCACAATACGTTTATACTGGCGCCAGAAAATGGAATGTTGATATGATCTAACAAGACAAATGGTTCAACACAGCGTTTCCGATACTGACTCACGAATAATTTAAGAAATTTGTGGTGAAAATTGCTTTCTAAGTTATACCATATCAAAAAGCACAAAGCATTCTAAAAATATATTGTGTTATTGACAAATGTAGTGTTTATAGGTATTGCAAAACGTTTCCAAACTGCAAGTTTGATATGATGAAAAGAAAAGTCAATTTTTCGATTGAATTACTCATTATGAGTTTTATTCATTGTTACATCCGTTTTGATTCAACGTGACGATCATTCAGTGTAGTATTTGTTACTGTTATCCCATTATGATATGTTCTTCTATATAATATACGATATTCTTGTATTCCATTGACATGAACTATGCTCACTCAGTGTGTGATTTGTTATAACTGAGTAGGTGATTTAATCCTAATTAATAATCAAAAATGGGTGTAAAATCAATATATAAACCAGTGTATTTTAGACTATTTTGATTCATCGTCGTCATAGTGTTTTAGAGCTAATAATTCTTCACTTATACCAGTCTTTGTGTTCTTACTTTCGCATCGTGGGAATTGCCGAGGTCCCTCTTTCCGAGTATAAGTGATAAGTATTTCCGACATAACAATCAGAGATGATCAGATATAACAAGTAGCATTCAATTCAAAAGTTATAACGATTGGCAATGAGGATTTCGGAAAATATTGATAAGTTATAACAGTACACTAATACATTTGGTTATCCTCACCTGTGTTCTAGTTTATTATAAAACAGTTAAAGACGTTGCTTTTTTCTTTAGTGATTTGTTACTTTTCTTGATTCTTCAACCTGCTATATCCAAATTGAAATTCCAGAATCTCTATGACAAATTATTATTTGAGCAACAATTTTATTTTGGGTATGTTAAAGTAAATGAGAAACTTAAGGGAATTAGTCCCTTTGATAAATAACGATCATGT